TTTTTAAAATATTCAATTAATTGTTAGAGCATATGGATTTTTTTTTATCAAAAGGTTGTGTAGTACCCCAAATAGGTGTCTATAGTTTGTCTACCAGTCAAGGGCTATACATTCCTACATGCTTTTAAATGATGTATAATTTTAATTATTTTTTAACGCACTCTGAAAACTTATTAACATTGAGATAATTATGATTATCTATCCAAAATACTACAACAATTACCATCTAGAAATTCAAGAAGCAGTTTATTGAAGTAACAAAAATAATGTGATATAATATTTTCAATCATCATCCAAATTTGGTACAGCGACATCGTGACATATAATCCGTTTCAAATGTATCTTCCTGACTGCTCACAGAGCTTATAGAATTATCTCAAGCGTCTGACGATTTCAGATATATTAAATAACAATCCCCGAGAAAAACAAATGAATTTTATCATTCTGTAGTCTGTGACAGAAAACTATTTGTCTTCTCAAAGAAGACAGTCATTTTTACATGGCAATTGTAATAAGTATTTTAATATATCCATAAAACATGATAAATAGTTTCATCCTATAACATGGCTTTTAATGTCAAATTCTGCGAATGCTCAAACCGATTAGGGCTTAATTTCTTATAATAAATGTAGATGTAGATTTAATATAAGTTATATGAAAATTGGAATTGAGTTATTAGCTATATTATTAAGTAATGGTGTTTTGTATCGATTACCTATTCTTGACTAAGATCACTGTTTCTAAGCTAATTATATGTATATATATGTACATATGCTTGTGGAAAATATTTTTTAATATAATAAGTAAACTTTGTTGGATTTGTATTTCACTGTAATTAAATGTTTGCATTCTAGTGTAATTGAAATCAACACTAACATTACTACATAATAATATAATTTAATTTACATACCTCCCTTTTTATGTAAGCCTTTACTGTTATACTGTATTCTATTTTTCTTTCATCTTTTCATATCGGTTATAATGCATTCCACTTTACAAATATTTGCTACTGAAGCTTTTTTTTAGTTGAACGTCAATTAACACGACCGTTTTTTATTATTTTATATTTTGCTTTAGAGTTAACAATCTCATACTTTTTGTATATTGTTATATTATTATGTCACCTGTATGCTTATACTACGAGTAAGTTTGCGTTATCAAACTCAATATCAAGCGTCACTCTTTTCATGTTCAATTACCTATGTTATACAAAGTTAGAGGATTTTTGAATGATAAGCGGTTTTTTCAGCATAATGTATATTCGTAGGCCTGATTTTGACCTTTTGTATTTTTAATTAAATATTTTCATTAATATTATAAAAGATATCGTACAATAGATTAAGCTATAGCCCAATTATTGGCCAATGAGATAAATCCATAAAATAGCAACTTTATCTAGATTTTGTCCTTAATAATATCTAATATTTTACCTTTTTTTTGTAGGATAAATCTCACGAAATAATTTCCGATATTACACCCAATGATCATAGCAAATTCATATTTTATGTATAATGAAAATTTTTATATTAATTTTTATTTTTTCTTGAACATTATTAAATAACAAGCCAAAACAAAAATTATTTCTTGGCTCTCCTCGTTAAACTACTACACCACCGAAGAACTACTCTTGCACGTAGCATAGCACCTCTTCACTATCATAATTTCTATCTTGTAACTTTTAACTTAAACTATGCAATGTACCGAGCGACAACATTAAACATGTTTGTAAATCTTTCAATTGGTACCCACGACACAGGAATACCTAGTGTGGGTACCACAGGATATATCTTTGTTCTATGTTGTGTTTTTTTGTTAATAAATATTTTGTTAATTTGTTGTTAACTGTCCGACTTTTTGTGAAAATAAATATAAATTAGAATCATATTTTTAGGTCAGTAAAAGTGAGTTGCTTCTTCCTCAATATTTAGATATCTTGTGATAGCTTCATGATACTAATTGACATTTAATAGGAAAGGTCAGTGAACCTTGAACTAGAAGAATTAATGTTATATAAATGGTTTGGTGTGAAGAGAAGAAAATATGGTTGATATTATAAAGATATTGTTTTCTAGTTTCTTTAGAGATTAGAAATATCAAAGGTTGGTAAAGAAAATTGTCGGTAATTCCATCATACTATACGCCTTGAGTCGTCTCCTAGAAACAAAAATATTATGATTGTAATTTTTGCATTATTTGAATACGTCATTTCTATTATTTTTTTTCTAGTTAAGCAGGGTCTTGTCAGTGTTGTCAGTCATTACTTCACAGCAGAAACCCAACCAAACAAATACTGAAATCGAATAGTATCGACTTTGTACGCTATTGACTAATTGGAATGCGTCTTTCGAGCTCACAGTAGAATTACGATCACTTTTTTTTTGTTAAAATGTAGCTCAATTGTAAATTTTATGAAATCCGTATACAATAATTTCTGTGACCACACCTTTCTAACCGCTTAAGTAGTTATTTTGATTTTACCTACCTATTATTTTCCTAAATTATAATAAATCGACTTTAAGCTTAAAATCACCTCCTGAAATATGTTTCTAGGAACTACGTTCAACACCGCCGAAAGGATATATTGCTTTCGTCCTGTATTTTCAAATTCTTTCTCATATTTATCTTTACATGAAAATTGCTATTAATTTACAACGGTATAGTAAAGTAAAAAGTATCGAAACGATGTTGTAATAAATAGATTGGAATGTAATATTTCATTTTTTCTGATTTTATCGAGTACTAAAGCCATAGTTTAAGTGTATTAATTATGCTGTCATCATTACCTTGCTTAATATTTCATAACGCGATGAAAGCTCTAAGCGTTGTAATAACAAAATCATGTAAATGTCGTGGTCTTTATAATTATTAATCCAATAAGGTTATTAAGTAACGATAAACAATTATTTTCAAGTAATTTAATATTTTATTCAATAAATAACATTCATTAAAAGTACCGTCTCTATATTTTCGTTACGTTTTTCGCTGAGAATAATAAAGACTTAAATTTATTTTCTTCAATATTATTATGTATTCAGCAGTAGGTAAAATATCTCGTTAAAATTTTTAATAATGCAAAATTTTAATGGAATTATTTCTTTTCCAGTTGTACTCTTGTTACAAGGTCTATTAAAACCTCGCCACAGAAGACGTTGAAGTAATAGGTCATCAACGACTAAAGATACATCTCGAATAACGAAACAAGATGCTCGTTACGTTAATTTATATTTATCAGAATTACCTTCGGAACTCACATTGGAAGTATTTACCACAAATATCTTTCTTTATTTCTTTGGAATTATCTTCATCAACTATTTTTATTCGTTCCTGCAATCTCATTTTTATTTTAATGAATGTCATCATCCCTTAAGATTCGTGACTTGTCAAAAATAATATTTTGTCTCAAATGATGTGTTATGTTTTTAGAGAATTAAGTTTAATTTAGCTATCAAAGCCTTTATTATAATGAGATCTAAGATTTTCGCGAGTACACATTTAAATGAAACTAATATTTTCGGATTTTTACTTCGCGTTTTATTTTTAAAAACTACATACTCCCGACGTTTCGGCTACTTTTCAGCAACCGTGATCACGGGCAGACGAGATGTGAGTGTCTGTCAGTTGGTCTGGTCATTTTATCTCCTACCGCCATCGATTTCTTAATTGTCTTGCGTACCGCTCTAGATGCCGGCAAAATGCGCTCACGGTGTCTCGAGGTCCTGCGGTGTGGTCACGGACATGGGATTTTATATTTTTAAGAAGAGGATCCCAGGTGTTTGATAGGTTCCAGCCATCTTCTCTATTGAAATTTGGGTGTTTTTTAATTTCAATAGCCTCGCGGATTAACCTTGGTATATATCTGTCTTCACGAGCGAGGATCTGTGGTTTATCAAATCTAATGTAATGGCCTGGTTTGTCCAATGCATGTTCGCACACTGCTGACTTCGACGCGCGCCTATTCCTGACGTCTGAAATGTGTTCCCTAACCCTTGTACCGATGCTTCTCTTTGTCTGTCCGATGTATGACAAGCCACAGTCACAATCAAGTTTATATACACCCGCTTGTTTTAAAGGAATGTTACTCTTGATTGGTCTCAAGAATTGGCTCACTTTCTTATGTGGTTTATAAATAGTCTTGATTGAAACCTTCTTCAAGATGTTGCCTATTCTGTCAGTAACTCCCTTTACATATGGTAGAATTGCAGGTTGTCGCTCGACTGTAGGTGGCTTCATCTGGTTCTTGCGATGCTGGCGAGGCACGGGCAGGCTGTTGATGGCCTTTATTATAAGTTATTGAAATATTTTCGACCGTAATTATTTCAATGTTAGTATTATTAAAATAGTAATATTAATAGTTAGTATTATTAATTCAAGGAGTGTAATTTCAAGACTCCGAAAGCCTAACCATTAACACATAATTCGGACAAATAGATCTCAAGGCATTTGGTAATTTGGTCATTAACCTTTTCAGACGTTTGCGTTTCTTTATTTCCTTCTCATTTATATATCACAAGACTAGTATACTAAAATAGTGTTTAAAAAGTATAGCGTTTCACTTAGCCAGAGATCTCATAAGTCAGAAAATGCCAAGTGTACTAAGAAGAATGTAAACAAGTCAGTCGCCCTCATTACTTAGGTGTAGGTGCTCTATAAACCCATATTGTTTTAGAGTTGACAAATATTTACTGTCTGAAGAAAAGGGGAAAACTAAAGTAGTAATGCCGGGAATTTTTATATTGCTCCCATTTCTATATTCGTGATATTTGTTGTAGTTGGTAGGTTAGCTCCGGTTATTCGAACAATTTTTCTCATTAATGAGAAATCGCGAAGGTTTTCCTTTCACTCCTTCAATTCTCTGAACGTATTTGTTTTTATAAGAGATTTTCCTTTCAGAGCAGAAAATATAAATGTTGCTATTAAATGTTTATTAGAAATAGCACAAAACATACATGTATGTACATATTTTTATTGCCAGGAGTAATCAGAAATATATTTTGTTGCAGATATAACACAAAGTCAGCTTCTATGTCGAGGGGTATCCACGCATAAAGTCTCCGGACTTCGTGCTCATGCCCCCCGGATTTCCTTCATCAATAAGGAAGAATCTGATCCTCATGAGCTTAGACGGAAATCCGCCACCAGCCGGCTTGGTAACTCTCCCCGATCAAGCATAGCTAGTGATGATAGAAGTGATGGACTAGCACTAAGGTTAGTTGAACTTATACTATATTAAGGATATTATTAGACAAAATTACACACTGAGAATTAAATATACCTATACATAAGCCCTTTATATTATTTACATGTGTAGAGGTACCAAAATGAATAGGACAGAATACATGCCATCAAAGGTATGCCATAAAATTTATATTTAGGATAAGGCCTTTCATTGGACATCAATCTTAGACTCAGATCAACCTAGTCTAAGTTAAAGTAGTTTCAAATTGGACAGAATCTATAATAAATTATATACATATATATATATATCGGCGCTATCAGCTTTAATAACGGATGCGACTTGAAAATAATTTGAGGCTGTCATCAATTCTTATTAAACCTCATTAGTATTAATGATTATTGTTAAAAGTAAAACGAAATCAAAGGAGAATAGAACTATGTTTGAATCTTGTTATAAATATGACGTCTGGACGCACGACGGCAGACTCCAGAATTGAGAATTCAGAGTTCAATGAGTGCGTATCATTGAAGTATGTGATTATGAAGAACCTTCGATAAATACAGGAGCATTAAGAATAATTGCAGTTTCATTTTAAAATATCATGCAACACTCTAGAAGAAGTGACATATGTGACGTCAGCGAGGCTGGCGTCCCTCTCTTTTAAAACAACGAATTAGTAATAAATCCGATTTATATGTTATCTATCAATAAGGTACAGTTGTTAAACATCGGAGATGACTTGGCACAAGTTACAAAATAAATTTAAATGTACATATATACAAAATAAATTTAAATCTATATTAATTGATTAATTAAATAATTTTACCTTGATGAATTCACAACATATTCCAAGAATTATTTCAAATCAGTATAATTCTAAGACGGCACAAATGTTTTTCTTTCATTTATTTCTCTTTCAGTAAACATTTCTCTTATATATTATGACTAATTTATAACATCATTACTCCAGAAAATAAATAATATTTACATTTGTCATTACTTATATACTCGTAGCGAACGACATAATATTTACTTATTGGCGATCAAATAATTTGGGTAAACAGGATATTTCTTGAGAAAACAGAATATATTATTGATTTGGTGTCATTAAAGAAGTCTTAATATATAAGGAAATGTCAGGTTCGAATTGGGTGAAAATCTCAACTTGAGTCGAATACTCATACATTTATTTACCTGGACTATTTGTAGTGAATATATATATTTTACACAAGCACAAAAACTTGCTTAACATAGTGTGAAATATTTAAAAAAAACTAATATTCTCATATTTACTCCCGTGGTCACGGTTGCAACAAAGTAACTTTAATATCGGGAGTATGTTGTTAAAATAATTAAAAACGCGTAGTAAGTCCGAAAATGTTAGTTTTCTTTCAATAAATATACGCGAAAGCGTTTTATCTCATTATACATACTAGGAAATAACTTAATATACGAAATCGGGAGAAAACATTTGTGATTTATAAACCTAGAGAATTGTCAAATATTATGAATTAAATTATGTAAAATTTTCCATTCAAATGTATGATGATCCAGTTGTATACAATTTACAAGCAAACAATTGTAAATTACAATAAAATAAATGATTTTCAAAAACAATACTCTCACTACTGTCAATCAACACGCTCACAAATCCAGATTGACGGATGTGGCTTAGTTGGTTTTGAACAAACGTTCGTTACTCACTATGACTGATTTAATGAGATCTGTTACTGAAATGACTTAAAGCGAGTATATACCAATTGCACTCTCATAGGTGATGCATATTATTGTTTTGTAAATGAATAATTTGTATCAATGAGATCTGAGACTTTCGCGAGTATCCATTTCAATGAAACTAATATTTTTTTGGATTTCTACGCGGATTTTATTAATTTAAATTCGGGCACGTGTGCCCGTAATCAAGGTTGCTGCAAAATAACCGAAACGTCGGAAATATGTAGTCTAAATTAATAAAATACGCGTAGTAATCCGGATAATACTAGTTTCATTTAATTTTTATTATTTTAAATTTACTTATAAACTATTTTCATTATTATTGAAATGAGTTCGTAGCAGCATCTTTTTCAACGTTTTTAAATTTCTTAAATAGAGTGGCAGTTTATTTTTGTTACATAAGCTAAACAATAGACTTGGCATTAAGCCAGGAATGACAAAAAAACCCTGAAACTCTCAATGCCGTATTGAATTCTTTAATTATATAAAATCTTACTTTTTTGTTATTACTCAAAAGCTTTAAGTTAACCATTATAAAACATACTGTTTAAAAAAATCATAGCATATATGTATTGGTTTATGTATCTATATAATTTTGCTATAAAAATTCTCTATTAAAATTAGGCATCTAGAATATATGTTTCTACGAAGCGCAGACTATTATAGCACAAAGATTGTACTGCAACGTAATATTTAGCTTAATGGCTCCTCTAAATTTAAATTCATAGATGTTTTATTAATTTAATTCTATAATCATGCTTAGTCAAAATATAATCATTTCAATCAACTAAGTTTTACAATCAAATTGATACTTTTTGATTATTTTAACTATGACAGAGATGTTATTAATAATTAAAAATTTAAATAAATTTGTTCATAGTGTTAACAAAAGAAGTATGTATAGTCCAAATCATGTTCAATGATAAATATGAAACATACAAAGTCCGTCTGTGACTTCGTAAATGTGATTTAAGGATCCCGAGTGCCCGTGACAGTCCAAAATTGGATCAAAAATTATGATAATAAAAGTTGGGATCGAATAAGTTAGAATTTATATAAGCCCATATATTATACTTTAGCTTTGGTATTTTTTGAAAGAATATATTACTAACATTCAAATAAACAAGATAAATACAAATCAAGCGCTATTACTTCACAGTGAAAATTATTATAAGTTTGCACATGGTTCGCAAGCAAGTTATTATGAGAATTTCCCTTACAAATATAGTTTACTTACAATACAGACATCTTGCATGGAAAAGACACCTCGTAAAATTTTTTGGGTGTAAAATTTTACCTGTGTAATGTTGGTAATTTCTCTTATTTTATATATAACTAGCGGGATTCCCGGTTTCGTACGAGTGTATTTAAGATTTTTTATATCCTTACTTCATTCATACACTTTTTTTTTCTTTAGTTTTTATATTTTTTCGAACACAGCAACATAATCTTTTCTTATTTCTGAACTTGACAAAGTGGTTTATGAGCTTATTATTGTTTAATTACAAACATACACAACACAAAAATTAAAAAGAAAATAATTTAAAAGCCAGCTTAATATAAGCTGTTCATAGTATTTTTATATATATCTAATTTTCGTTTAGTATCCATTGAATTGGTAAATACAGTATCCAAATAACAATTTTTATCGTTAAATCATTATTTGTCATCCCAGTTATTAAATTATATTTGAAATATATAAAAAAAACTAAAGGGAGTAACTCCTTGTAATACATGTAAAAGTAACTTAGTAGATTTTACTAATAAAGTATTTCTACAAGGATATTGATCGCAACTTCGGACTAATACACATAGTGTATTTTGATTGTCACCATCTTATCTTTATATATATAATTCTCCTGTGAGTGTGTATGTCACTGAACTTCTCTCAAACGACTGGACCGATTTTGATTAATTTTTTTGTATATTCAAGGGGATCTGGGAATGGTTTAGATTCACAATTTTGCCCGCTGAACAATTTTTTTTAATTAATTTTTAATTTATTAGTAGTTGTTGATACAAACGTTTATTTTTTTGATTTGACAACTAACTAATATGTCAATCATTTTGTCGCACTTCAAAACACGGAGATTTATGGCTTTAATAGGTAAACTCCAAAAATATAAATAAAAAATGTAACAGATATTTCTTGATTATCGGGCGATACGAAGTTCGCCGGGTCTTCTTGTATCTTATAAATAAATTCTCGTGCCGCCGTGATAGACAGAGAAGTTTCCAAAACGGCTGGGATGCTTTTGATGAAATTTTGTGAACATATTTAGTGTTGTTCATGCTTAATTTTTTTTATTATTTTCCTACGAAGTTTTTTGTTTTTATTTTTTTATAATGTAGCATTAAAAAGTTTATACAACCCAAAATTTTTACTTTTTTATCACCAACCCCTTTTTTTATATAGCAAAACAACGTTTGCCGGGTCATATAGTGTAACTATATAAATCAAGCAGCTATAAACATACTAAATAGATTCGCTTAAATTAAATTATTTCAATAATATTTTGACAGCACAATCTTTAATAAACATCGCTATGGAGATAAAATATAAAATTTTGTCACATATTTAAACAAAAGAAAGAGATTTTGATATTACTCATTTAAAACGTATAATAAGAAAAAAAAACTGAAACCATAATTCTAAATAATTTTTTTTCAGTTCATGTTCTTTATGATGAATTAAAAAATATATTTAAAATATATGTTTTACCTAAAAGTATACTAAAAAGAAAGTAAAACATCGATAAATCTTTCCGTGTCTTCTAAATATTAAAAGAGAATATTTGAAAATCATAAAAATATTTAAAAACAAAAATCTTTTTATTGCTAATAACTTGTTTGGAGAACCCTTAATTATACTTATAATAATTCTTCAAAGTGAATTGAGGTTTTTATTTTGTTTCAGAGTAAACCATCACTTTATTCGACTCCTTTTCATTTCAATTTCACTTCATTTCAAAACCCTTCTCAGTTTGATTTCAAGAAAACTTTACGCGAATGCTAGGTAATTTTTTTGTAATAAATAAATGAGATGAAAAAGTATTTTATGTCTGAACAGCCAATTAACAAAGTTATTTTCAATTAAAATTTTGATGATATTCAAATGAATATAACAACAAATTGAAAACTTAGTTAGAAATGTAACTAAAATTGTTTGAATCTTTTAATTAGAATTAGTGAACCTTTATGTTATTATTTTATTTTGTTTATTATTAATTATATAGGCTGGCTACAGGAGGTTCCAGGAAAATTACGTAACTTACTTATTATAATAAGAATTACA